TGTTTGTCACACAAATGAATAGCTCGGGCTCTGGGCGTTGCCATTTGTCACAGGAAGAGCGACAGGCTTGGGGCAGACGAAGAGGATGCATTCAGGCTCGGACCCGGCGGTGTCCCCTGGTGTAGCGGTCCAGTTGGCGGGCCTGGGTCTGGAGGTCAGGAGGGAGACCCGGGGTGCGGAGAGGCTCGAGCTGGAGAGCTTTCCGAGCGCAGGTGGGAACTGAAGTTTGCGTAGCCTTAGGTTCAGGACGTAGAGGAGTGTGAAGCTGCCGAGGAGTTTCAAGTGTGAAGAGCCTGAGTGGGCTCCTAGAGTAGGAACCCGCCTGGCCAGCCACGACGCGTTGGCAAGAAGAGGAGCCCGTGGAAAAGGCCACGGAGCATCTCCCAGGCAAGTGGGAGGAAAAGCCACAGAAGCCAAGAGCTTCCGGAACACGTGGCTCATTACTGACAGCGGGCTAGGCCGGTCTGACCTGCCTCCAACACCACGCTCCCGAGGGCACAAGCCATCTTCTGTGACATCCCGGCCAGAAGATGCACACCCAGGCTCCAGGTCGTGAGGGAACACCAGACACCCCAAACTGAGGGACGATCTACAAAACAACATCTCACAAGAGCAAGAGAGACTGAAGAATCGGATGAAAGGAGCCGGAAGAGACCTGCCGACTAACCGCAGTGCACGGTTCTGGGTTTGCCGCCTTCTGACCTGGGAGGAAGTAGCAAGAAGGTCTGGGAACCGAACAGCAGCTTCTCGCCAGACACTGCATTTGCCTCTGTCCTGACCTTGGACTCCCCAGCTCCAGAACTGGGAGGAATACATTTCTGTTTATTAGCCTCCTCATTGTTGGTGTCCTGTTACAGCAGCCTGAACAGACTGAGCAATAGGATCGCATCAATGTTATTTTTCCGCAATTTGATCATTGTGCTGCGATGATATTATAGAAAGATCTTTGTTTTTAGGAAACGTGCTGAAGTATTTAGGATTCAAGAATTTTGATGTCTGCAGCTTACTCTTCCAGGGCCCAGGAAAGAAGGGTAAATACATAAGGCAAAAAACAAAACAAAACCAAAAAACCCAACCCCCAAATGAATGGATGAATCTGGGAGAAGGATACATGGGCATTCACTGTACCATTCTTTTTTCTTTTAATATGTTTTTATTGATTTTTTTAGAGAAGGAGAGAGAGAAACATCCATGGGAGAGAGAAACATCCATCTGCTGCCTCCTGCACACCCCTACTGGGGATGGAGCCCGCAACTCTGGCATGTGCCCTGACTGGGAATCAAATCAAGACCTCTCAGTCCATGGGCTGATGCTCAACCCACTGAGCTACACCGGCCAGGCAAACTGTGCTGTTCTTACAACTTGAAAAATTGTAAAGTAAAATGTTTAAAAAGAAAAAAAAAAAAAGGAGAGAAAGGAGCAGTAGGCACATTATCAAATTCTGTGAAGAGGTCAGGAAAGAGCCTGGTTGGTGAGGCTCAGTTGGTTGAGCGTTGACCCAGGCACCAAGAGGTCGCTGGTTTGATTCCTGGTCAGGGCACAGGCCCAGGCTGTGGGCTGGATCCCTGGTTGGGGGCGTGCAGGAGGCAGCCGGCCAATGTATCTCTCTCATCATTGTTTCTATTTCTCTCTCCCTCTCCCTTCCTCTTTCTCTAAAAAATCAATGAAAACATTAAAAAAAAAAAAAGAGGGCAGGAAAGAAAAAGGTCACAAGTGTCCATTGTATTTAGCAACACAGATTTAGCCTTGAATTCACGGCACTTCAATTCTAGAAGGAAACCCATAAATGAATATATAATTACACATTGGAATAGAGACTGGAAAAAAAGAATAGGGTGTTACATGGATGTATGTAATTAGTTCTTAGTTCAAACCAGTTCTAGTGGGGGTGGAGGAGGCCAAAGCTAGATGGTAATGAAGTGAGCGGGGGAGGGGACGTGGAGCCGGGAGGGCGGTGGCCTTCTTCAAGAAGCTTGGGTAAAGTGCAGGGAGCTGTCAAGAGCTGCGCCTCCAGGGAGAGGGGAGGTCAAGTTGGAAATGCGGGGGAGTCAGGAGAGGTTTGGAAGGGGTAACATTTGCACAGGGTAAGGAACGATGGGCAGGGGGTTCAGGGAGGCGGGAGCTGCGTGCTCTGCGCAGCAGCAGCTGGGATGGGCCGAGACATGTGGTGCGTCCAGAGCATGGGGCGGCTGAGAAGGCAGGTAGGGGTTACATGTAAAAGAGCTTAGTTTTCCAGGCTGCACACCTTGACCTTGGACTAAAGAGGTTAAACCTCTTGTCTGGTATCTCAGCCCGAAGGTGGTGTCCAGAGCTCCTCTAAATATATAAGAAATGTATTTTAAGAAGTGCCCCCCGGTACTCAAGCCAGAAGCCCATGTGCCATTCTTGTCCCCGGCCCCCCTTTCAGCTCCCACACCCAAACATCAGCAAGCCTGTCAGTCGGCTTTGAGAGGCGTGTCTGTTTCCAGTTCTCCACCTCTGTCAGTGTCTGTTTCCAGTTCTCCGACTCTGTTGCTGCCGTCTGGTCCCCACGCCATCATCGCTCTCCTAGCCGGTTCCCTCCTACAACTCCCCTCTGTGCTCGCTAGACAACACGATGTTCACCCTCGTGACCTGAACCACGTCACCCCATCTCTCCCCCCTTCTTCTAAATCATTCAACGACTTTTCTAATTCAGGAGAAAATGCCAAGACCTTTACCATGGCCTGTCAGGTCCTATGTGTTCTGGCCACTTCTGTCTTTTCACCCAGTCGTACCTCGTCCCATCCCTCCCCTTCTTTCCTGGGCTCCGAGCAGGTCAGCGTATCGGCTTTTCCGTCCTCCGATGGGCTAAAACTCTTCTGACGCCAGTCTTCCAGCTGTCTTGCTCTGCCCTCGACCTCTCTTCCCCACCCCGGCCCTTACCGGTGACCCTTTGTGTGTGAGTTTGCTGGGGCTGCTAGAGTCCAGGGCCCCAGAGTGGGTGACTTGCACAGTACACATTCATTCTCTTACCATTCTGGAGGCGGGGAGTCCGAGATCGAGGTGTTGGCAGATTGGTGTCTTCTGAGGTCTCGCTTCTTGGCTTCCAGATGGCTGCCTTCTGTCTGTGTCCTCACATGGTCTCCCTCGTGTGTGTGTGTGTGTGTGTAAATTTCCTCTTACAGTGACACCAGTTCTATTGGATTAGGATCCCCCCAGTTGATTTCATGTTGACCTAACTACTTCTTTAAAGACCTTATCTCCAAATACAGTCACATTCTAAGGTCCTGGGAGGAGCGGTGGGGTTAAGGCTTTAACATATGAATTTGAGGGGGGCGGGTGGACATAACTCAGCCCACAACTATTCATTTCAATGTGTAAGTTGCAGCCTGAACGTCGTTTCCCCAGGAAAGCATTCTGTTACTCTACGCAGTCCAACCCAAACGAGATGCACTGTTATTCTTGTCTGTAGCGCCCTGTTCCCCCCAAACCTATTCCGTTTTGTAACTGCTTATGCTTCGATGAGACTCCACCTGTGATTTAAGTGCCATAAATTCAAGGACCCTATCTTTTCTGGTCACCGCTATGTCCCCAGCATCTAGCACAGTTCCTGGCCCATGGCAAGCAGCCAACACGAATTTGTTGAATGAATCCAAAGCCCAGAGGCTGCAAAGAATCCAGCAACTTTGCTTCTGGTTAAACTGAGACCAGAGCCATTGAAAGGAGAGATGATTCTTACCTATGTTTAAAGATCTGCAGAAAAAGTGATTTCACACTAACCCTTAGTACCCCCTCCGCAGCCTTTTGGCATGAAATGAGCAAACTGTGACTGGAAATCGATTCCAGCTCAGAGGTAGGCAGCTGGGGAGAACACATTTATAAAATTATTGCTGATGTGTGCGGTGACATAGCCCAGCGTGGCACCACGGGCCAGTGTATAACCAGAACTAATGACACTGGGCTTTTTGCTTAAAAGATAACAACAACAACAAAAAATTCAACCTTAAGCAAGAACTCAGAACAAATTTCATTCTTGTCCAGTTGTTTTTAGATGTTTGGATGTAGACTTTATTCGAACTGGTTTTCTAGGTGGATCCATCTTCAAAATTAAATTTGGGATTTGGGGAAGGTTTAGTGCTAATGCGCTGGTGGACAGTTTTACTCCGGCTTCTGGTTCACGGACAGTCTCCGGAAATTCACTGTGGGGCTCGGCCATTCTCAGGCAAGATCATAAATTCCAAGAATCCTCTTGCCAGAAGGTTCTGGAGAGTTACTTTGTCCAGTTCCCTGCCTGCAAAAGGGTTGTCGAATTTGTCCAGGGCAGATCATTTATTTTTATTTGTTTAGCCAGTATTTATTGAGTGTGTACTCTCTGCCACACACCAAGAGGTAACAAAGAAGAGTAAGAAACAATATCCACTCTCAAAGTTACTCCTAGAGGGCAAAGGTCAAATCTTGGTCCTGTTTTCTCTTACACTGTGCTTGACCCAATTGTTGTGGGAAGAACAACTGTGCAGTGACATTTATCATTTTTTTTGGGGGGGGTGCCCAATGTTAGAACTGCCATCCTGTCTTTGGGAAATTTCCCAGTACGTGAGTCTTGGGGGCAGGGAGAGGCTCCCCTCCCACTGTAGAAGCTCCAAAGGTGAGGTCATTATCTTCTAGGCACCCCCTGCAGTTCAGGTGTGAGCAAGCAACCTAGACTTGGCCAACCAGATGCACATGCGAGACCTGGAAATGGTGTTCTGGAGGTGGCAGGAGCCCCAGTGGGTTTCGAGAGGCCCCCGATGGTGCCAATGGCAGCACTCAGTGCCAGGGCTAGCAGGGGGAGGTCTGGGCTGTCGCACCCTCCGTTCAGTGCCAGGGCCAGCAGGGGGAGGTCTGGGCTGTCGCACCCTCCGTTCAGTGCCAGGGCCAGCAGGGGGAGGTCTGGGCATAGCACCCTCCGTTCAGTGGCTTCTGCAGTCCTGTTCCCTCGGACCGGCGTTCTCACTTTTCCATAACTCAGCGTCGTTTTTATTCTTCTCCCCAGCGTCTTTCTTAAGGTAATACCTGAAAGGACTCTTTAATATTGTAAAAGCACAGAAGGATGAAACACAGAGGAAAATGCCACAGATAACCCCACCATTCTAATTCAACAATGATGACTTACATTGCCTTCATCTTTTTCATAGGTGAGTTTTTACAGGTTTATGAATATACTTAATGCAAACCATTCTTTATGCTGCTTAAAGCATTTTAAATTACTATTATAGGACCACATTTTTCCTTGTGATCTTATGATGAAAATATTATTTAAAAGTTTTTGTATATTATTAAAAAATTAAGACCTGCAGAAGAGTTGAAACCATAGTACGGTGAACACCCATATACTCCCCTCCGGATCAATTGTTAACAGTTTGCTGAATTTGCTTTCTCTCTCTGTCTTATGTACCCATGTGTTTCCTCTGCTGAATTATTTGAAAGTAAGTTGCAGAAATTATCGTATTTTACCTCAGTAGTTCAGACTACCTTTTCCTCAATAGAAGGACTTTCTCCTACATAATTGCAATACCATTAGCATAGTTAAGAAGAGCAATAATTCCATAATATTATCTAAAATCTAGTCCATGCTCAAAATTCCTGAATTGTCGCAAGAATTGTCTCTTATAGCTGGGATCTGAGAGCCGGACTCTTTCTTTTTTAAGTTCTCGGAGGCTTAAACAATGTCAGTGTTGGGGGTGGGAATGGGTGACGCATGCAGCCCTGTGTGGGGAGGAAATCCGTGACTGTTTCACGTGCCTGGACCCTAGTCGTTTCTCTTTTCCCTGTTCTTGTCACCCTATTGGGTGAAGCGCTGAGCATACACCTGTGGCACTCGGATTTCCAACAAAAAGTTTTGTTGATAGCGCCCCCTTGTGGTCTGGGGTAGTACCCAAGCTGTGCCCTCCCTCCTGGTTTATTTCATCTTGAAAGCAGAAAACCCTGCTCTGCCTCTTTGTGTTTATTTTCCTCTGGCTCCCTTCTTGGTTCAGGCTTTTGACACTTAAAAGCCTTTCCTCTACTTTCATGGTCTAACCATGGCTTGACTCCTGTGGTCACGGGAGAACAGGGCACACTGGTGGTGGGAGAAAAGGACATCAGTTAATCTTTCATAAAATTATCCTGGCTGGTTCGTTCTGTGCAGACATCGGCACATACATTTAGTTGTTAGGCCCCAAGATGGCCATACTGATTGTTAAAACATTAAAGTTCTTCTGAACTAGACCACTCATCCTATCGTCCGAAAAGACAACCTTTGCTGTTGTATATTTTCTTCATCTTTCTCATATATATATGTATTTATGAATATAATTAATACAGTGGCAAATTAATACTATAAGTGATTTTTTAAAAAAGCCACTGTCGGGAGCCTTCTGTCCCCCAGACGGCGCCAGCCTCTTCCCAGGACACCTCAGACCTGCAGCAGCCAATGGGTCGATGCCTAGCAGAGCAGGTGGCCCCAGGGCCCTGAATCCATTCTGATGGGTTAGTTCCAGGACTTCCACCTGTTAAGTGTTTTGATATCCCCACTGAGCAAATGTAAATCGGACCACATCCTCCTCCTGCTCAAATCCTTCACTGGCTCCTTGCTTGACTCAGAATTAAGTCAAAGGTACCTGTTTTAGAGGCACTAAAGTTTGGCTCAGTGTGTGACTGGATGTAGGGACACGGGGGAGAGAGGAGGGAAAATGAAGGTACAATCTAAGATGGGGGTCTATTGGTGACTATTGGAAAGAGATCAGCAAGTGGGACACATTTAAGAAGTATTTTTTAAAAGTCAAAGCAATGCAACATGATTTTTGAACATGGAAGATGGAGTAAAATTCTCTAACCCGTATCACCAGAAGTAACCCACTCTTACCTGTAAGTTTAAAATTATGTTGTTGTTTTTTTAATCCTCACCTGAGGATATTTTTCCATTTATCTTCAGATAGAGTGGGAGGGAGGGAGAGAGAGAAACATCAATGTGAGAGGACACATCAACTGGTTGCCTCCCACATGACCCTGACCAGGGCTGGGGATGAATCACAACTAAGGTATGTGCTCTTGACTGGAATGGAACCCACAACTCTGGTCCGCAGGCTGATGCTTCAACCACTGAGCCAAACCAGCCAGGGCTAAAATTATGTTTTTATAAAAACATTTCTGTGTGTATTGATTGTTGATTGTTTTGTTTGGCAACTCTTCTCCACAACATATAATGTACTTTGTTCCAAACTAATTCATTTATATTTACAACATCATCATTATTGTTATTAATTTATTTTTGTTATATGTTTTGTTATGATTCTCCTTTTCCCCTCATTGACACCCTCCTCCCGATCCCCGCCCCCCACATTGTTGTCTATGTTTATTGGTTACACATGCATGCATATAAATTCTTTGGTTTATCTCTTCTCTCCCCCCATCCCCCTCTTCTGAGGTTTGTCAGTCTGTACCCTACTACTATGTTTCTGGGTCTGTTTTATTCATCAGCTTATTTTGTACATTATATTCCACAAATAAATGAGATCATGTAATATATATCTTTCTGATTGGCTTATTTCGCTTAGCATAATACTCTCCAGGTCCCTCCGTGTCGTACCAAAGGATAAGAGATCTCTCTTTCTTACAGCTGCAGAGTACTCCATTGTGTATATGTACCACAGCTTTTTTATCCATTCGTCTACTGATGGACACTTGGGCTGTTTCCAGATCTTAGTGATTGTAAATAGTGCTGCTATGAACATAGGGGTACATATATATTCTTTCTGATTGGTGTTTCAGGCTTCTTAGGGTATATTCCTAGAAGTGGGATCACTGGATCAAATGGCAGTTCAATTTTTAATTATTTTTTAAGGGATTTTTTTTTATTGAGAGAGAGAGGAAGGGAGAGGGGGAGAGAGAGAGAAAGATCGATGAGAGAGAACATCAATTGGCCATCTCCTGCATGGCCCCACTAGGGATCAAGCCTGCAACCCAGGCATATGCCCTGACCAGGAATTGACCTGGGACCTCTCAGTCTGTGGGGCGATGCTCAATCCACTGAGCCACACCGCTCTCTTTAAAGGGTTTACCAAGTGTCAATACCCTTCAGCTAAAGACCACCAGGAACACTGTTGCAGTTGGGCAAGTTGGGATTATTATTCCTTGCAATGAGGGCGGGAAATGTAGCAGGGAAATGTAACACCGTGGGGTGTTAGACAGGACTTAGTATAGGATTTGAGCTTAGGTTTGGTGACTTGGGGGAGGGTTTAAGGAACTGGGGCCTTGCTCTGGATTGGATACAAGCAGGAAGTGGGAGTACTTCTATGATTAGGCATCTTAATAAATCTCATCTGAAAGGAGAAAAGACCAGAGTGAGGCGCAAGCTGTAATTGGTGAAGCAGCAGCAGCCCCTCCCATTGGACAGGGTAGAGGAAATTGGGTCATTTGTATGGTTCAGACAGAGTTCATAACTCGTGTTCAGACATGCTTGTTTTTGTCTTGCTCCATTACAGTCTCCGAGTGGCCTTGTCTGATGACGCAATTGTTGTCGTCGTTTTTCAACAGGAGAGCATGAAGTCGTCGCTGTGAGCACCTAGCAACATCAAGGCCGAGCTGATAGTAAGTACCAGGCCAGCTCATGGATGCCAGGGCGGCTTCCTTTCTCTTTCTCAGAAGGAAGTTTCCACTGCCTTTGCCTGGCTAATCCCTACTGATCCTGCAGACCTCACCTTAAACCTCATTTCCTGAAGACAGCCTCTCCTAATTCTCTCCCCCCAGATAAACAGATAGACGGGTCTTATTGTTACACAGTCCTCAGCAGCTTCTGAGTTTCCCGTGCAGAGCTCATCACACCTGTGATTGCTTAAACGTGCCGTGAGTTAGCCAATACCTGCCTCCCTGGCTCATCTGTAGACGCCACAAGGGAGGGTCTGAGTCTGTCTTGTTCATGGAAGTATCCTCAGTGACTCACACAGCAATGAACACTCAGTAAGTGCTCACAATGAGGATTTCATGAGTGAACACTGAATGCACATGGATAATGAGATTCTTGTGTATGTGGGTGGGGCCTCACACATCTGTATTCCAGGGCCTATAATAGTGCTTGGCACATGATACGTCCTCAGTAAATACTTGTGTAATGGGCTGTGATGGTTACTTTTATGTTTCAGTTTGACTGGGCCATCCGTGGGATGTCCAGATAGCTGGTTAAGTATTATTTCAGGGGTGGTGGTGGGGAGTTTGTGAGAGGTGGAAAAGGGCTTGTTTCTGGAAGAGATTGGCATTTGAATGGGTGAACTGAATAAAGCAGTTGGCCCTTATCAATGTGAGTGGGCATTATCCAATCTGTTGAGGGCTTACATAGAATAAAAGTGGAGAAAGGTTGAATTAACTCTATCTGACTATTTGAGCTGGGGCATTGATCTCACTCTAGTTTTGAGGCCTTCGGACCTGGACTGGAATCTATACCATCAACTCTCTGGGGCTTTTTACTACACCACCGGCTTTCCTGGGTCTCCAGCTTCTAAACAATAGATCATGGACCTCTCAACTTCCACAATCATGTGATCCAAGTCCTGTGATAAATCTCTTTATCTATCTATCTATCTATCTATCTATCTATCATCTCCTATTGGTTCTATTTGTCTGGAGAACCTTGATTAATTCATGAGTCAGTGGCCTGAATCTTATCCATTCATTTTATTCTGTCCAAGAAATTATTTTAGTGGCTTCAGAGTTATCCCAAATAATTGAGTCTGTTCCATGTAAATGTAATTGGTGGCTCAAGTGTGTAGAGTGGTTAGCTGAAAACCATTTTGAAAGTATTTGACCTGAATTTTCTCCTCTTTGCCTCACACACCTTTTTCTCTTTTTCTTCCCTCCCTAATCTGTCTGAAGCTCTGCACAGTCTCAGATCAAATAAAGGCCCTCAAGACACCACGCCGGCTATCGGAGCTCTGCACACTTCATTGCGAAGCCATAAACACAATTACTAGATCATTAAGGACTAAAAACAGAGGCTCTGAAGCAGCATGCAGAGTTGCCTAGTTGGGCATGAACAGTGCCGTGCTCCAGTCGGTGCCTCTCTGTTGGAAGGCCCCTCGGAGAAGGGTTGGGAACTGAAATGTCTTAGGGGCAGGTGTGAGGAAATCCGATAAAAGTCACCCGTATCCACTCACCGCTCGGATGCCTCGTGAGCAGTACATCGACTGCGTTCTTGGAGCCTCAGTTTCCCCGCTGTCCAATAGGGGAGCGGGGATTGACTGCATCAACGCTCATTCTTTGCCCAGTGTGTTAGTTTGTTGTGGCTGTCTTAATGTGTCACAAACTAAGTAGCTTAAACCACAAAAATGTAACCTTGTCTCACAGTTCTGGAGGCTAAAAGTTCTAGACCGAGATGTTCGCAAAGTGGGTTCCTTCTGAGGCCTGTAAGGGAGGTTCTGTCCCAGGCGCCTCTCTCCTTGGCCTGTAGGTGGCGGTCTTCTCCCTGTGTCTTCAGAGCATCTTCCCTCTGTGGACGTCCTTGTCCAACTTCTCCTTATAAGGACACTAGTCATATTAGATTAGGGCCCACCCTAATGACCTCATTTTAACTTTGTTACCTCTGTTAGGACCTATCTCCAACTAATGTCACATTCTCAGAAACTGAGGGTTAAAATGTCACCACACAGATTGTGGAGAGACACAGTTCAACTCAGAACACCCCTCCTGTACCCACAGGACCCTTGGCAGGTCCTTTCATAAAAGAGATGGGGTGTTTTTATCCATCCTTTGGATCTTTGCTAACCCTGTGACTTTTTTAGGCTGATGTGATGTTACGTGATATAAGTGGAAGTGTGAACTATTACTTTCTTTTTCTTTTCCTTTATTGATTTTAGAGAGAAACTGCAAAGGAGAGAGAGACAGAAACATTGATGAGAGAGAACATCGATTGGCCGCCTCCTGCATGCTCCCCACTGGGATTTGGCCCACAACCTGGGCATGTGTCCTGACTGGGAATCGAACCGGCGACCTCTTGGTGCATGGGTCGACGCTCAGCCACTGAGCCACACCGGCCAGACTGCTCTGCTACTTTCACTCTAGTTTCTCTGGCAGTTGCCACAGGAAAATTCCCAGGCTGGCCTGCTGGAGGACATGTCATCCCAGGACTCCCAGCTGAGGCCGTCCTCAATCAGCCAACAGCCAGCCAGACCCCAGGCATGTCCGTGAGTCTAGGCAAGATCAGTAAAATGACCTAGAAAGCCTGCAGTTAACCACAGACATACGAGCAAGGTGGCAAAATCAGACGAGCCTGGTCCAAGTCAGCTGAACCCCATGTTCACTGCTCCATGCTCTGGGGTTTTAGTGATTGTTTGTTACACAGCATGATTGGGGGAATATATGACTGATGCAGGTGAGTAATATCTACTCACGGAATTGTGAGGACCTATGAGAGAGGGCATAAGTGTTAAATGAATTGTAACCCAGGTATTACGATGTTTTACAAACTCTTGAGTACTATATAGAAAGAAAGAGTTACCAATATACAATAAGATGCTGTGTGATAACGATAAGAAGGTTGGAATGAACAAAACTAACAAATTGAGCACCGGCTATATTGTGTAAATCTGAGCCTACACTCGTGCACATAAACCATTCATGATATTATATTATGTCTACTCTGTGTGGGTTCTGAGGGACCACCTGTGAGAAAAATGAGACTCAGAGCAACACACTGATCACATAGCCAGTAAGTGGCAGAGCACCAGAATTTGAGATATTTATGATTTGTCTAGGAAAAATGGGAAAACATGCCATTTTCTTTCTTTTTTAATCCTCACCCAAGGATATTTTTCCATTTATTTTCAGACAGAATGGGAGGGAGAGAAGGACGAAAGGAGAGAGAGAGAGACAGACAGACAGACATTGATTGGTTGCCTCTGGACCACCCCAACCAGAGCCGGGGACTGAACCGCAACCAATGCCCCTGACCAGAATCGAACCCACTACTCTTTGGTCTGCAGGCTAATGCTCTAACTGCTGAGCCAAACCAGCCAGGGCAAAACATGTTATTTCAAAACCCCTCCTAAGGAAGCTATTGACTTTCAAAATGAACAGAGATAATAATAACTTCATCTCTGGAAATCATCTGACTTGAAGTTTGAAATGAGGGCAGAAAAGGAGATCATTCATTCATTCATTCATTCACCCACGCTCCTTGAACAAATAACGCTTGAGGGCCCACTATGCATCAGCCTCTGTACTAGGCACTCTGCTTCTATTAGCGTTTCTTTCCCCTGTTACCCCATTCTTTGTCTCACCAATGCCCACTCTCATTCTGCTCTGTAAATGTTGACAAGAACGGGTGAAAAAACAAAACAAAACAAAACAAAAAACCTTGCTTGTCAGGGCAAGTCTGTGTAAGATTGATGCTGATGGCCGTAGTCCATTTAGAATGTTAACTGCTGTGAGCACACCTTAGTTTTGTTTCGTTTTGTGTTTTTTTCATGCTGATACACATAAATACCCCCTTGCAGCTTTTCATATGCCCGAATTGGAAGCTGAAAATTATGCTTCCAAAGTTCACAGTTATTCATCCATTGCTTTGGTCCCTTTTTACCATTCACTGTGGGCCAGGCTCTGTGTGACTGCACGGAACCTATGGGTGGACGCCAACCATCCTGTCTCAGTAATAATGATAATAGTACACAATCATGGAGAGCGTATTCTATGCCAATGTTGTCCTAGGTGCTTTACATATATTAACTCATTTAGGCTTTGCAACAGCTCTGTGAGGTAGGTACTAGTCCTACAAATGAGGAAACTGAGGCACAGGGGAGTTGAGTAATTTTCCCAAGGTCACATGGATGCGTGAATGGTGGCAGAGCTGGGATTTGAACTCCGGCATCTGGTTCCAGAATCTGTCTCCCACGCCGCCTCTGACACCACCACTGATGGCCATGTCCGCCTCTGGACCACGGTGGAGGGTCTGCATTGCCATCACTCTTGAGAGTGCCGAGTGGTGATGCGGAAGAGGGTGATTTCTTCAGGGGAAAACCACTGCATAATCCTAGCCTGGAATCTGAACCCAGACCCGCCCTCACGCGTGGACTCACCTGTCAATCCCACAGCCTCTCCGGTCTCACCTGTGCTCTGAAGCTGACTCAGCAGAGCATCAGTCATTGCCCATCTTCAGACTGGAAGAGCAGGGAGAGGAGGAGGGAAGACATCAAGCCCCTTTCCTCATCTGTGAAATGGGAACAAGTTAAGCGAATAGTGTAACATTAGGCACTGACTTTTATTGGGCACCTAGTATGTGCAGTCATTGCGTTAAATGCTTTTCCCTTTGCACACTCTCATTTAATCCTTAAAGCAACATTACACGTAAGGCAGGCTCAGAGCAGCTCAGTCACTTGTCTGAAGTCACACAACTAGTCAGGAGGAGGCAGAGCCTGGATTCAGTCAGGCTGTAGAACATGAAAGATTTGACTCCAGTACAGCACCGGTGGTTCTCACAGGGTCAATGCTGCCCTGTACGATTTTGGTAGTTACACCGATGGGGAGTTACAAAATTATGACATCGGCATGATTTTCTTTAGGGCGCCAGATGAACTAGACACTCAGCAGTGTGTGGGGAAGACCTTCCTGTGTCCTGCTTCACTTTCCAGTGTCCGGCCAGACCTTCATGTAGGTGAAAAACCTATTTATTATCATCAGAGCCTGTTTTACAGGTAAACATAGAGTATATTTTCAATGTTTTAGCATCATCTGCTTTTTCTAGGAACGCAACCTAACAGTGTTCATCAAGGGATGGTTGTAGCTTATTTTGCTCAAAACTTTATCCATACGTATACATCAGTTCAGAAAAATCACATCACCAATGATAACACTGTTCAAGACACTTGAGGGGCTAACACCTCACCCCCAAATCAGCTTCGTTTGTAGCTGTTACACACACAGTGGTTCTTTGTTTATGTGGCAGTATCCACCTACCTCACTGGGTCTTCTAACATTTACACATGAAATTGGTTCTCAAAAACTATATAGGTATGTAGGTTATATTATCTCTGAATTTCATTTCATGACAGTAAAGAGCACATTACCATATATGTGTTATAAAAGGATGGATGGAATGGATCATTGCTCCCAATTTCTCATTCTCCCCTTTAATGGAATGACACGTCAACACCTTTTTGCCAGGTGGCTGCGGTGCCTCAGTGGGGTGGGTGGAGAAGATTCCTGCACCTCAATGATTTTGGGCCAATGACATGTCAACAAAAGTGGAAATATGTCCGTTCTGAACCTGACCCTCAAAAGGCATGTGTTCTCACTAGTCATCTTGAGCTTCTGCCATTTGCTACGAGTAAAACGTGCCTCAGGTGGCTGTTGGTCTCAGGCGAATGGCGAGACTCTTGGAACAGAGCTGAACCCCGCCGGAAGCCTGGAGCCAAGCTAATGGCATTCCTGGTGAGCTCAGCAGACCCACCAGCCAAAACATGTTTTGTTTTGTTTTTGTAGGCCATTGAGACTGTTTGTTACGCACCAGTAACTGATTGATACAAGGAGGCATTGGCTTTGGATAAGATTGACAACCACTGCATTCTACTGTCACTCCTGTAAACTTAAAGCAGTGAGCTCAGGTCTTGGCACACGTAGAGTGCATGCTTTATAAGTAAGTGTTCTGTTAGCATTGAAGAAGGGCTACGCGATATTCTGATACCATGTTAAAGGGGATTATGGAGGGACACCTTTCCATTCCTCAGGCTTAGGAGCTCGGCAATTACTGTTAAGCTTTCTGACCCCCTCTGGGAGGGTGCGGATTTACCGAGTGAGCAGGTCAGAGATAATTGATGAGCTTTCTTCTTTAAAAAGGAACCCGGCACCAAGGAAACGACAAGCGTGATCAGCTTTGCGACTGTGGATTATAATTACCAAGTTAATAACTGGAGCGTTATGTGAAAGATTGATGGTTCTTGTTCAATGTAATGTGTCCTTTAAATGCTAAATAATAAGTTAAATGCAAGCAATACGTACGTTGGATGGCTTATTTATGGGGTAATTATGGGACGTTTTCAGCCTATAAACTAGGGCATCTATAGAAACCCAGGTGTTATGGAGAAGAAAGAGCCCTGATTTAGAAATCAGGAGACCTGGATTCTCTGCTGTCTGCCAGCTCGTGACCTTGGAGAGGTGATGCCATTGCTCTGCACCCCAGTTTCTTCATTTAGAAAATTGGGAGGGGCTTAAAAACACCCGTCTCGTAGAGCAGTTGTGAGGGGTCAGCGTCAATGGCATGATTACATCAAGTGCTGAGCACAGTGCCTGACACATAATAAGTGCTTTCAAATGTTAGCCATCATTAGATCATCATTTTTCAATAAGAGATTTGGCCCTTCTAGTAAGAGTTTCCTACTTTGTTTTTAGGCAAAAATTTGCAATAGACAGTCTGTGAATTCTTAGTATAAAAACACACTTCAGTTGTCCTTCACTGCTTAAAAAATAATCAGGAACTTGGCTAAATACAGGCAAGAATAAGGAAGAAAATAAAAATCATCCATCTAACCCACCATCTAAATATAACCACTGTTAACATTTTGACGTAGACTCCCGGTCTTTTTTTTTTTTTTTTTTTTGCCATGTATAGAATTTCTCTTTTAAAATCCAAAATTGGAATCATGCTGCACATGCTGATTTGCCACCTGCCTTTGAGATGTTTCCAATGTCATTAAATATTCTTCCGAAACACCCTCTTTAATGGCCGCAGAGTAGGGTGTTCTCGAGCCGCATTGTCTAAGTGGAAGAGTTATTCACAGGAGCCTACTTAGCCCATTCACTTAAATTATACTTTCAGCCTTTCTGAAATCTTCATTTCAAATTGGTCTGAAATGGGCCAGGGCTTGGCTTTGAGATTCTTCTCCGCGGCCCCCTCCCACTCCCAGCTGCCCCGGGTTCTCTGTCAAGTACTTAATGAGTGGACCAGGCACCTATTTAACAGGGGTGCTCTCACTTTAAAGGGTCTCCGTGGTGAGCCATTTTGTAAAAGGGAAGAATGTCATTCAAACACCCTCTAATTTCTCTCCCTGCTGAGGTGCATTTTTTTAAAAAATTGGATTCTCCCTCTCTCTCTCTTTATGTTTTAATCCTCACCAGAGGATATTTTTCCATTGACTTTTTAGATAGCATGGAAAGGAGAGAGGGAGGGAGGGAGGGAGGGAGAGAGAGAGAGAGAGAGAGAGAGAGAGAGAGAAACATTGATTGTTTGCCTCCTGTAAAACCGAGGAATCGAACCTGCAACCCAGGTAGGTGCCCTTAACTGGGAATCGAGTCCGAGACCCTTCGGTCTGAGGGCCGACATTCTCACTACTGAGCAAACCAGCCAAGGCATCATTGGGTTCTCTCCTCAAGTAAGGGCCATGTGCAGGCATATACTTGCCCACTAGCCTTCTTAAACTCCCTGACTCTATGCCAAGTAACACTTTGACCCCGAGTCACAAAAAGGAATACTTCTTTCAGTCCCCATGAGATGTGGATGTTGGACAAGATGCTTCTTTGGACTTCTTCATGTCCCTGGGTGTTATGGCTGAATTGTGTCCCTCCTTGCTGAATTTATATGTCAAAATCATAACCCCTAGTACCACGTAATGTGCCTGTATTAGGAGACAGGGTCTTGAAGAAGGTAACTGAGCTTAAATGAGGTCATTGGGGTGGGTTCTAATGTAATACGACTGGTGTCTTTCTAAGAAGAGATTAGGGCACAGGAAAGACCTTGCGTTTGGACTGCTAGCCTCCAGAACTATGAGAAAATACGTTGCTGTTGTTTACGCCTCCCCATCTGTGGTACTTTGTTATGGCAACTTGAGCAAACTAATACGCTGGGTAATTTGAACAATTACAGACTAGGGGAACTTCCCATGGGGATATATTGACTTCTGCGAGTCCAGCCTGTGGAATTCTTGAGTATTATTTAAAAAGAGATCATCAGGATAATGTTTATCACAAAAGAATGTACTGCTCGTGGGTGCATTTCATGGGGAAGGTGCTGTTTCGGGGTGGGGAGGCGCCTTTAAATTATATTAGTGTATTTCATGTAGTCTAGTCCTGAACATGGCAGTGAGTGAGTGTGTGCGTGTGTGTATGTGTGTGCGTGTGTGTGCATGTGTGTGTGTGTGTTCAAGACACAGAGAAAAGTTGGGACGGCGAGGACCAAAGACAAAGGAAGAACAGATCAGACTCTCTTCTGTCTATGTGTTGCCTTTAATAAAGAAGAGTGACCCAGTGGGGACCTTTATGACTGGATGTCTGTTGGACCCGACCGGACAGGAACCATCCTTCACAGCCACTCCGAGGTGCCTGAGCGCTCTCCCCGGAATAGCAGCGGCAGCCGCCGGCGCCTCTGCGGTCAGACCAGCTCTGTTTCCCACAATGACATCCTCCTGTCTGGACCCGGCACTGCTTAACCCAGTCAGGTACAGAATGAATTAACGCCTCCGCGCTCGGACGTGGCAATCAGCTAAAGGAATGACGGCGGAGGGCTGATTCATGCCTTATTTATCTCGGAGGGGTCAAAGGAAGAAGAACCGAGCGCATAGTTTTGGACAGAAGCGGCATGAAGGCGTATTGGAGAGGATTGTTTTATTTCCCGAGTCTCATACACCCTGCCCTCATCATCTGGACAATATTTTGATATCCGCCCTGGTTACTATTTATAAACAGTTTTTATTCTATGTATAAAATGCCTCGCACAAGGGCATTAGGGGCCTCTGAGGACCTGTTTATCACCCATCCCTAATCATCCCTTCCTTGTATCCATCCATCGTTCAGTTTACCCACCATCCCATCGCTCACGTATCCGCATATCCACCCACCTGCCCGCCCACCACCTACTCACCTACCGTCTTCACATCTCCGATTTAGTGACTCCGTCCTACCTGGTTTCTCTTTCCCTTCATGTCTGTAACAACCTCTCCACTGGTCTCCCGGCCTCCAGACCTTCCCATTTTCATCTTTGCCCACAAGGCAGCCTGCCTGACCTTTCTGCACTTTATTTCCCCATCTTGAAATCAAGGTGCTGTTTGTTTCTCTGGACTGCTGTGAGTGGGACTATCATTTATTCATCCAGAGGCGGTGTGTGGAGCCCCTGCTCCCTGTGCCCGTCTCCACTGGAGGGCCGGGGACACAGCAGCAGACGAGATGGGCAGGTCCCTGTCCTCACGGAGCTCTTGTTCTGGTGGGAGAGCGAGCAGCCACTGCATAACTCATTAACCACCTGGTGCGCCTTCAGGGAGTGACTCACGCGAAGTGCACATGGACTGTGTTTAATTAATGGTAGTTGTCATATGAACAGTAATCGGGATTATCATGTCAGTTTCTCTAACACCTTTCAATAATTATAATTATTGAGCACTAATATGCACCAACCATTAAGCTAAGCAGGTTTTTTTTTTTTTTTTACTTTATATTTTAGAGAGAGAGGAAGGGAGAGAGAAAAACATGGATTTGTTGTTCCACTTATTGATGCATTCATTTGTTGACTCTTATATGTGCCCCGATCGGAGACTGACCTGCAGCCTTGATGTATCTGGATGATGCTCTAACCAGCTGAGCTAGCTGGCCAGGGCCTTGCTTAGTTAGCACTTTGAGCTCACAGCAGCCCTATGAGGTGGATACGATTGCTTCCCATTTCAGATGTGGAAACTGAGGCACAATCTGTCCCTGTCTTCAAGAAAATGTCCAAACTTCTTGCTCAGGCGCTCAAGGCCTTTCATGACCTGGCCCCGCCTGTCTCTCAGCTTCGCATTATGTTGACCACCTATCTCCTGCCTTTTACTCTCACTCTTCGAGGCTTCGTTCGGAGGTCACTTCTGCAGGAGGTTCAGCTTCTCCACTGCCCTCTCCATTCAGGGCGTCCTCCAACGCTGCTCTGGGCAGGGGTAGTGCTTTGCCCGTGGGTTCCCACAGTTTCCCGGTCGTTTCCACCGCAGGGTGCAGTCATTGCCCCTCTGTGTCTGCTGCCCCTGAGAGAATGCGACTTCTCCGAGTGTGGGGATCTTGGCTTTTTTTTCTCTTTAACCTCAGCATCCAGCCCAGTGCCAGGCACATAATAGGCACTCGATAAATGAACGCCTGAAAACATTGCAGGGGAAAGGCTTCTTCTCCCAGAGTTTGTGTGGATCAGAAGGGACTCTTCTTGGGACCCAGTGTCGATTAGGAACCCCAGAAAGGTGTCCTAATTTTGACCTGTCATGGGCTGTGTGATCCTTAGCTATTTACTCCACCTCTCTGTGCCTCTGTGAGACAGTACAAACAGATACAACGTTGGTAGGAAAGTATTTTGCAGACAAAGAAGGGCCAAACAGAGAGCCAGTTTGTAACATCGATAAAAGCATATTTGGTTAGATCTGAATTTAATATCCGGTTGTGACATGTTTGCCACAGGGAAAACACAACAACAGGTTTTTCAGAATCTGAATTTAGAAGCCAGAAATAGATGAAAGATTGAAAGAAAAAAGGCTTCTTGCTTTGAAAGGGACCCACCTACCTGACCTTTCTAAATAACAACTTCTCTACACCAGTCACGTATGCCAAGGGCAGAGACTTCGTAATCAGTTGTCTGGCTTGAATTTGCCTGTG